GTTCAAAAGATAATTGTCTGCTGACAGCACTTGCAATCACCGGCAAATAGTTAAAAACCCTAGGTGTGTATTAGCCACCCGGATCTCTTGCCATTTTGCCCCAATAACACCTCTTAAAGCAGAGGGATTAAATGATGTATGTGATGTGCAAAAGTTCTAATTTGGCTATTCTGGATTTAAATGTGAAATTAAACGTTATTAAATAACCTTGTACATGTGATAATTATCAGTAATTCAAAGTGAAATTCAAATGTAAGGCAAAGTAGCCAAACTAAAAACAGAATTGCTTCTGAGCATTCAGGTATTTGGGTCTAAATTTTCAAATTCCCTTTCAATGCCTTTAGTGAATAACACTGTTTGAGTTCCTAATTCACAATCTAGTGTACATGGTACAGTGACAATAAAGTTGAATCTAAATCCTAGAGAGTTTAATCGGAAACAAATGAAGACATTTGCAGAATGGCTAATCATTTCCTATGTGTAGCAGATAATGCAATGTATAATGTAATAAGGAGACAATGCACATTTTCACTCACTGAGTTGAGCCCACCTCCTCATTTATCCTTCTATATCTAAGATAAAAAAAAAAAATAAGTGACCTGCTTGCAATATTATACTATAATAAAATGTGTTATTGTTCTAATTATAAAAACTGTTAGATGTTCTTAAATAATACTTACATTTAGGTTATATTTCCCTAACATGTAGGCAATATTTTCATACAACCCAAATGTAGATCTTCGCCATTAGTATTTTCATACTTTTTTTGTGCAAATGCCAATTGTGCAGTTGGGAATACAGGTATCAGTCTGAGGAGGCTGATGGATAGTAGCATAGATGGTCTGTGCGGCTGGGTAGGTGGCTGTGACTGTAGATTGTGGTGCTTAAAGGGACACTATAGTCACAACTAGTACAACTACAATTTATTGTAGTGTTTCTGGTGTCTATAGCCTGTCCCTGCAGGCTTTTAATGTAAACGCTGTCAGTGTTTACATTGGTGCCTAGTAACACTGCTAGTGTCAGTCACTCAGATGACCACTGTTGAGGCTTTCTATCTCAGGGCACACTCTGCATGGAGGCGATGGATGTTCCCCATAGAGATGAATTGATTCAATGCATCTCTATGAGGAGATGCTGATTGGCGCAGCACAATGTTTAGCCGCAATAGCCTTCCAATGATTTCCTATGGAAAATCATTGGATTGGCTGAGATCATCAAAAACCATGATCTTAGCCACAGAGGCGGTACCTGTTGCGTCAAGGTCTATGTGTCATGGAAAAAAGGGTGCGTAAAATCACATTTTCAGAGAGGTCTATGGGGGGCAGCGACTGGGACTTAAACAGTTAGGTATACACATTTGTACTCCTGGCACTATAGTGTTTCATTAATGTGTGGGTGGGTAAAGGTGTGGGTCTAGATAGTGGTTTTGTGCTGGGTGGAGATTTGGGGTGCTTAGTAGTGATGTCGCGAACCCGAAATTTTCGGTTCGCGAACGGCGAACGCGAACTTCCGCAAATGTTCGCGAACCGGCGAACCGCCCGAAACGCCATTGACTTCAATGGGGAGGCGAATTTTAAAACACACAGGGACTCTTTCTGGCCACAATAGGGATGGAAAAGTTGTTTCAAGGGGACTAACACCTGGACTGTGGCATGCCGGAGGGGGATCCATGGCAAAACTCCCATGGAAAATTACACAGTTGATACAGAGTCTGGTTTTAATCCATAAAGGGCAGAAATCACCTAACATTCCTAAATCACAATCAATATGGATTGACACCTGACATATGACATGTTGACACCTTGACATATGGATTGACACCTGTCCTCAGAGCCCCTGATGCACACGGACACAGAGCAGAATAGAGACTGGTCCCCCTACATAGGGTCACTTGGCAGATATGGATTGACACCTGTCCTAAGGATCCCTGATACACACTGACACAGAGCAGAATAGGGACTGTTCCCCCTACATCGGGTCACTTGGCAGATATGGATTGACACCTTGTTACAAACTGCTATTTGTAACGGGCCCTTTAAATGGCAAATTGCCCTGTTTCCCTGGGTTGTGGAGAAGCCTCTTTGCCAGCCTCCTCCCGCATGACTATGGCCCCTGGGAGATTGTGAAAATGTATGCACTTTTATTTGGTGTGTATGGCCCTTTAAGACTGTCGGTGGGCATATTGGGGCTTATGGACTCTTTATGTGACTGGTGCTGGCCCTTTAAACACCTTTTTTGGGACATCAGGAAGATTGGGACACTGCCCCTTTAAGGCCGTGTCCCCAGACTTGTTGGGGACACGGCCCCTTTAAGACGGTGTCCCCTGTGTCCCCAGACCTGGTGCAAACCCTTTGTGCCTGCCTGGCTATTTCCCACTTGGTTCAGTAAATGGGAAATTATTTCAGCTGCAGAGACTAAGTCCCATTCAGCGATGGGACTT